ACCAACTAATAGTGGGATTGACCATCACATTATAATGCCCCCACGGCTGAAAGGGCAAGCATGTTTGGTGTGATGGGGATTTGAACCCGCTACCACCTGGCCATGCCGGGCTATTTCTTTCGTATAGTAAGGCTTATTATAATCTTATATAATGATAGACAACTGGTGTTCACTATATACTGCAAATCTTTTATAAGATTTCATTGCAATATCAAAACATTATGATCAAATAAACATGTATACAGACAGCAAGGTAGTTGTGTGTACATTGATACTATTATTTCAGATGCACTAAAAACTTGATTTTTTATTGTGCCTGCACTACGATCACCTTCTTTGTTTTAAAATGATTTAATTTTCCATCTTTGGATAGGAGATAGCTGAGCAGAAATATATTTTTTGCTATCTGAAATAAAACAGAGTAGCAATGAAACATTCAATTCCTATAGAAGTTTAAAGATGACATCTTTCTAGGAAAACTTCATATATTCTTTTTGTCAGTTTCATGAATATTAAGTTTCCTGTAACAACACAGATCCATACCATGTAGTGAGATACAAAGCAAACAAATTTAATAATTTCAATAACAAATTGATCATGCACTACTTCCCATCTAGTGACAATGCATAAAATGAAACTTACGATATTAACAGTCCACACACACACACACACACACACACACAAAAGTACTCCAAACACTGTAATTTTAAAACTTGATATTTTGCAAAATGAAATAGAAAAGTACATTAGTAGATTACTTTAACACTATTATATTAGTAGAACAATTCATAAAGCAGTATATTAAGTATTATGCATCAGAAAATTTTGAAATTTCACATGCAAAATCTTTATAATGTCCAGATAGTTATCAAACGTTTCTTAAGAAAAACTTTATATTCTATCTGTTATTTTCAGTAATTAATCCCTGTACGGGTTCGATAGGTTTTGACTGATCTTACAACCACCATAAAAAATTAGGAAATAAATATAAATTATGCTTCTTTCATCCTATAATGAACACAAATTATAACACGAAAACATAAATGTTTATCCTGAATAGCTTAAATCCCATAACATTATACGTAAATTATAATATATATATTTATTATATTGACATTTCAGCAGTTCCTAACAAACAATATAGAAGTTACAATGATGCAGCTCACGTGCACTCATGTTACTGTATCAAGTAAAATAAAACTGACCTTTGGTCTGTTCATATATACAGATTGTTATTTTGAAATAAGTTCTTCAACATATTTTCCCTAAAACATAGAACTGTAAATACAGAAGTAAAGCAAACAATTATCCCTTCTAGTTACGACCTTTGTACTACGGTGCTGCTTTACATTGGTTGCTAAACCTTTAAAAATTTTGCGGGATATGAAACAAAATATTTTTTTTAGGTTTTATATATATCCATTTGAATAACTAAAAAATCATAAACTACTACATTAATAACAGAGAATTCCACTATAATTTATAAAGCTTAGTAACTAAGATGTATTTTAGTCTAAAACAATAAGAAATTTCGAGCAGAATAAAGATACATCCTACCTCATTGAAATATTGGTTCAAAAGAAAAAAAATAGTGCTAAGTCCATTAAACTGTCTGAAAAAGCCACTAGGGGACATTCTGAGCTTTCAATTGGTTATTCATGTCATATATAGAAGTAAGTGCATATAAAGGAACGTCTCCAAAAATGGAAAGAGGTAGGCAAGGTGCCACTGTGTTTGATTTATTACATGAGCAATATATTAGCAAATTAAAAAGAAAAGAGGCTCTTATTTTATATTCTAGCTTGTCAATATCGGTAATTTGAGTTTCTAATTCATTCGAACCTATAGACTTAGTATTTGGATTTAATAAACATCTAATTTGAACCAGTGCTGCATTCAACATACCATGTGACATACCATAAAAAAAAAAGCAATGTTTATCTGCATTTTTTGAATATTTGCTTTTAAATTAAGAAATCGAGTAATAAATAGTACTAAAACTTGAATTATAATCTACAATTTGATTCCAAACTTATTGACATAAATTCATGAAATAGTAGTTCAATAAAATTTTTAATGCGAGTCAACAAAAAAAATGACATGGCCTTTCGCCAGTGACCCATCTCGAAAGGGTTAAAATTTTTATATTACTTTACACTGTTTATCAAGCTTACTATATGAATATCTTTTCTGTGGTAGCAGTGCACCATGAAATTGTTTAGCAATTATCATGAATCATATGCACTGCTTAAAAGAATGAAAGGTAATTTTGTTTTTAAATTCTAAAGCTGAATTAAGTAGACTATCATCAAAACCTTGAAAGAAGACAATTTGACAATATGAGCCTAAAGCAACTGGTAGGCCTAAGCTTCCCAACACAATAAATAGTTCAAAGCAGCAAGCTGATGACAGATCAACATATTAATAGTTAGAAAAAGGCTTTAAAAGGTAGGCCTCTATGCCAGATGAACATTGGTGTGATTTCCTTTAACCCATCACTACAGAATTAAGTGGTGTCAATAACATACAGATAACATTATGATGTATGGATGAATATCTTGTTCACAAAGAAATTGTGCTTCACACTATAGCCAGATATCAGTTGTGTATGTATTTGTAGATTGGCCAGGGCTAGATTCAACTTTTCTTATTGTGAGGAGAGGATTCAACCACAATTTTCCAGAAAATAAGGTATACATGTTGGTGGTGACATCTGATATTTATGTGCTATGAATACCATATAATATAGAGATGTTGTCTTACAATCACTCCACTAACTTTCCCCAACCAAATATTTTTGATGGGTTGGAGTTTTGTAAAAAACCCTTGGGGACCACCACCCTTCCTTCAGCAAGCTTTGTTCACAAACTTCCCTCTTCACCATAAAAGAAAAGCAACCAAACACTGAGAAAATAAAACTTATTTCCAAGTACACACTAAAAAAAAAAAATCAAAACAAAAGGTGAAACTTAAAATGACTCATAATATGACTATTATACACACACACATAAGGACAATTTTAATCAGCAGAAAAATAGTATTGTGTCAGAGTTCATGAATTTTTACACATTTTTTGACATGTCAGGCAGAGCTAGTGTAATAAATATATTAAACAGAAATATTGTTTTATATAGATATAAATAAATATTGTTCCTGTAACTGAATATGTTTTTCTAGTGTTGCACAACAATATATAATGTTTAAAAAAGTTCAAAATTACAATGAATATGAAAAATGAATATTACCTTGAAATTTGTTTCTCAAAAAACTTTTTGTCCTCTAATTACTTTTTATATGTATGATGTGTTACACCAAATATTTTAATAACATCATTCTTTATAATAATTTCAAAAGGAGACCCAAGGGTGCTTTCGATTTGTTGACTATTCTTCTTCAAGAGAATAAAGGGTTATGTTTAATGAGTGTAATGAAATATATAGGCTCGGGTGTCGATGTCACGTAAACCGGATGTTCAATGATTTGGCCTTGAGAGCTAGCCAATCATAACCTAGAGTTGTTTGCGTCAGGTTTAGTTTTGTGCTAAAGGGATGTGTAAAGTTCATAAAAGACTTATGTGGGATAATAGTTATAAGTATTGTTAACTAATTTCTATAAACATAAAATAAACAATAGAAATAAAATTGAAATTAAATAATGGCAAAAGGAGGTGGGAAATAGAGAAAATAATAATGTAGCTCAATATATAGGAAATCAAACCAATATATATAGAGAGAGAGACACATTAAGGAAGAATAATACTAATAATGTAAAGTAAGTTTAATCATGATTGTAGTTATGAAAATATTACAACTTTTGTAAGTGATCCTGTGTGCTAACTACTTAACCTGGATCATTCTTTATAAGTTGAGGTTTTTAATTTTGAACAAATTTTTAATGTGTTACCAAAAGATAGACACTACCCTTTTATTAAATAGATTATATGTTAAGATTATGTTTTCATTCTAAGGCCACGAATGTAGTCCCAATTATCTTTGGTAGTAATAAACAACTATAAGCAGTAGGAGTTCAAGTCCTCACTAACATAAGCTTATTGCCCAAATCTTGACCCATCATGTGCCAACAGAAATATATCTGATTTATTTATTTCATGAAGATGTTTTACTCAAGTGACTCTGTGGTAAGTGGAAGATTTCACATGTACCACAACATTTTTCTGATTGCATCTAAAAATCAATTTCAACTACCATCATTAGTTAAGACTAAAGGAAGTTTGGAAGAAAGAAAAAAAAAGTGTTTTATCCAAAAAAATAATAATAAAACTGAAAAGCTTCACAGAAATCTGTTAAGTTCTTGCTATAGGGATATCTTTAGTAAAATTTATTAATTTCTATTTTTTTGTATTTTGCATTACTCTGTGTAGCACATAAAACTTTGTGCAGTGACAAAAGCTAACTCATACTTACAGTGGAGAAATATATAATACAGACAGATTTAGCATAAGAAAACAAAATGCTGGATTTTGCCAAAATACTGATATTACTTTCAGTACTTAGAACTATGGTTTTGCTCTAAAATACAAAATTTTAATAGTTGCTTTCAAAAATAAGAACAAATGAAAATAATCCTTTATAAGTGTGTTTCAATTTAATTTAATGAATTGCCATGGAAACACAAAGTTACTTGTGGAGTTATTCATTTTGTTCAGGATTCACCTAAGGTTCATTCACATACTATATTGTTTGGTATGTAAGAAGCATTTTGGATTTGAAAAATTAATTGAATAAACAATGGATACTAATTTGTCATTGATGCCTTATGTATGACACTAGTAAAAAATTCTCATAGTCAAGAACGAAGTGTGATGTCTTGATATCTGTAATACAAAAAAGTGAAAAGACATAACAAGTTAGAAAAAATGTAGTACTGAAAATTGTTTTGGTGACCAGTAATAGTAACTAATAACAGATATGATATAATGAATCTTTAACAACAACTTCATGAACAATAAAACAGAACAACAACAAAAAAACACCACTCACTTCTCTCATTTTAAAGAAGGCTGCACCAGTCAAAAGGCTGTCACTACCAGCTTGATGTTGCGGTCCAATTCGTTGCAACTGTAAAAAAAAGAAGTGTGTCATGAGAACTCATACATAAACAGTTGCATCTTTGTAGCAATGAGAGTGAAAACAGAGAAATTTAAGCACATAAATTCTAACCAGTTGATAGAGACATCACAGTGGCCTACCTCTAACTGTTCAGCAACTTCTTGGAGTCCACCTTTAAGATTTTTACAGCTCTTCATAAGGTACTTGACATCATAAATTACTGGACAGTAAATCTTTAACAATTCAAAGAACTCAGACTCTTCCTCTGGTAAATTCTGACCTGTCAATATTTTTAGCAGGTAGCCAAAGTCATATCCACTAGCAAGCACATAACAAAAGAAAAAAACAATAGTCAGTCACATAGAAAAAAAAGAATGTACAACATATTAAGCAATATTTTTTTCATTATAATTGTATAAACTATATTACTCTTTTAAAAAATTTGACTGCTATTTGAAAATAACTAGGTACGAAACAAATATTTTCAGAGCATTTACTAAAATTCTAATATATAGAAAAACAACAGGAGCAGAAAAAACAACAACAACAACTAAATCATCATTGATCATAAAGCAAAAAACAGCAGTTATGTGTAAGTTGCGGAAGTCCTGAATAAAGTAAAAATAACAGAGGTAAGGTTGTGATCAACTACTGACCTAGCATACAATCTTTTGATCTTAAAAACTAGAGGTTTAAGGATTCAGTATGTGGAATAATGACTGCCATGTTTTGTTGAAGTCTGAGTACAATAAGTCACTATATGTGAAGGAAATGCCATACTACAGTGTTAGGGACAACATGAAATAAAGAAACTGTATTTAGGCAAACAAGAAATTAAAACAAACTTAACAAGGAAATATTATGGAATTTGAATTTTGTGTTTATGGTAAAGCTAATAAGACTATCTGCTGCCACCTTTAATATATGAAACTCCTGACTAGAGGGAAGACAGCCAGTCAATCAGCACCCTATGACCCAAAACCATGCTAAAGGATTGAATGTCAGTGTCTATAATGCATCCACAATTAAAAGTGCAGGGAATATTTTGGGTATCGCATGAATATGAAACTGGCATGCTTGCTCTGAAAACCAGAGCTATACCACAGGGCCAACTCCTGCTACAAAAGTAAAAGAAAGTGGACATGACCAGCAGATAAAGTTGGTATAACTGTACACAGAATGGACTTCTTCAGAAAGTCTTGATGCTTTTAAACAACTTCAATATGAGCTGAAATCTTCAAAGGTCAGATCCAATCACCCTTGAATGTATATTGTCTATGAAGATGACAAATCACAAAAAGGGCAATGGAATGCACAAGTAACTCTGTGTCACATGTCCGTCACAAAGATATCTTCCATTCAAGAGATAAATGTAGGACACAATGCAACCATTCCATGAAACAGCAGATAAGTTCAATACCTGGATAGGCTACAGAATGCAACATCATAGGTTGAATTTTTCACAGAATTTCAATCAGATTTAGCTAATTTCAGAATTAAAACTTAGAATTTTTTTTATATTGTAGAAATGAAATATAAACTACAGAATAATAATTTAACCAGTGCTTACATGCTGCAACTCTCTTATCTAAGCCATGTTCTCAAGTTGACTTTTAACACCAATTACTAGGTTACATATCAATTCAATATATAGGGAAGACATAGTGGCCCCTGGAGGGTGATATAGAGTGTTATATTTAAATGCCAAATCCCTATATTATTTCTTTAGGGCCTTAAGAATACATGCTAAGTGTGGCAACATTCTGCCCAGCTATATCCTGACACAAAAACACATACATCTGCCCAATAATGGTTTAGTTAACACAGCAAAAACAAATGAAAAATCACAACCCTTTGTCAGATTAGACATGAATGCCACAGATAAAAGCCAGACCACAGATATAAACAGAATTCTATTTTTATGCAAATTTTCCACTAAAAAAAAACAGATTTGTAGATTCTATAGCAAATAATAAATATAATTTTTACTTACACTTATTTCCATATTTAGTTCTGACAATTTTATTCATGAACACCTACTAGAGTAAAGCTTTCAAGTAGCTGGCAGATGCAAGCACAAGCATTGTCATTTTGTAATTATGGAGGCGATATATGCTTTTAAAGAAATGTATATGATGTTTAATTGTTACTGTTACCATAAATTTGAAGGTGAGGATATTTCAGTATCTAAAGAATACTAAACAATGAATAATTCAGAACCATGCATGTATATGCATTTTTTCACATACAAGACACCACTCAAAGTTGCAAGTGTTCATCATCACTCAAAGTAATAGTTTACAACATTGACAAATTTTCAAGAAAATATATGAAAAATGTAGTGTATCAAGAATACAAAAATTATAAAACTTAATAAAATTAAATTTATCTACAAATAACTTCCTGACCCATGTTAAGAGACACAGAGGAAATTATTTGGATTTTAAGGTATATTTTATACATTTTTTGCAGATAAAGATAAAAGGAAATAATGAAATTTTGGATAAATCCTACCTGTTTATTAACATTACTACTATAACTCATTTTTAACAATACATAAAACTAAATGTGCAGAAATGCAGTGAAAAACACATCAATTCAGGTCTTTTACTTTTCTAAGAGGCATAACTACAATCTAAGTTCACACCTGTGAAAAGACAACCATTTGATATTTTCTGAGAGGACCACACCAGATGTCATTAGCAGCTGAGCAAACTCATAGGGATCAACTCCTTCTTCTTCATGTTTTTTAAACTGAATGCCTGAATTTGTAAGGAGGTCAATGGAGTCTTGGGCATACATATCCTCTCTAAAAATAAATAACAATTATTAACAGTTTGCATGTAATCTAGAAATACACTGACCTGCCAGACATACCTCAATACACTATTAATATGTATCATTGCCCATGCAACATACTCTACAAAAAAAAAGATAAAGAAGCAAATATGGACACTCACTTAACAGTCAATAGCAGGTTCAAACTATAATGGGCACTGGCATGAGAATGGCTTGTAGAAAATAATAACTGAAAATGAAGTCCCGTAGCCCCCACCCTACTTATGATAATTAAACATTTTCCTTGAGGTGGATTTTTAAAAGTTTATCTTCCAACACATTTTGAATCACACTAACCAATTCCCCAATTTCTTTTCAGAAATAATCAGCTTAAAAACTATTCATACTAGCATACTGGTCCAATGTATAATTTGTACTGCATTTTCTTTGTGGAAAAACCTTTTGGATGCTGCAAAAAAACAGAAATTTGATGTTTTGAAAATGTGTCCCTTATTTCTGTGTCACTGGCACTCTTGTTTTGCATTGCTTTTCTCCATCAAGCTTTGCTATTTGCTCACTTTTTTGTCTTTTATGTTAATGAAACATGAACTTTCACTGTTCTCTCTGTGTCATTATTCTGCTTTCCATGCAAAAACAGTACTTCTGTGGGACTCTAATCAAATACAAACATAAATATGAATTCAGCTGGAAACCATAGTTCAAACATTACATGGATCATAAGCATAAAGTAATTCAACTACATTACATTAAAACCTCAATTAAAGGGCACTGCACCATTAAGGGTAGACCTTTTCAGTATCTTTTTTTTTCCTTCTACTATTTGTAACCAAAATAAATCCTTGCAATAAATGCCCCCCCCCCTCTATATTCCGGGTTAAGGGCAGTGTCTTTAGTTTAATTCTCTATACGGGCATTTGATAAAGCAGGCAGTTATCACTGTATGCCTATACAGTATATTAGTAAATTACAAACATCTCAGAAGGATTGCCAATATTCAAACAGTTGCAATGTTTATTGGATCGGCTCTGAACCATATACTGTAACAAATGTTTTCACAGATCCAAAGTGCAAACTTATTACTCTAGGGAATTCTTGTTGTAAATACTGTAGGATACATAAGCTGATAAATCACACATTGTATTCTAGAAGCAGAAGCCAAGTAGGCTTATTTCTGTGCACGTGCTTTATTGCTCTTGAGAGTATCATATTACGGTGTCATGTAAACAGTCTCATGACACAAACAGTGACTTGTTGCTTTATTTTCAGCAGAATACTACTTCAGTCCTTGACAGTAAAATAAAGAGAAAGTAAATGTGAAATGTTTAGCAGTTCAAACACTGAAGAGAAGTACTTTGAAATTTTGGGACCAATAATAATAAAAAAAGGGCACAGCTAATTCACCCATGACAACACTACGTCACGACAATGTGCAACTCACAATTACCCATGTCCTGCATGCACCAAACAAAATGGAGGGATTTAAAATTCAGAAATTTAGTGTGGTTAATATGGAATTTAGCTTTGCAAGGCTCATTTTTTTAATATCAAGGGTACCTTGCTACAGAGGGCATTTGAACACAGTCAGAAGGGTGCCCTTAATGTCAAGGTTTTCCTACACAAAGATGGCTATTAAATTTTGGAAAATATTTCTTTTGTGACAATAGATCAGTATGGCAACATGAAACAGTTTCATTTCTTAACTTTAAAACTATGCTGACAATAACATTAGTTACTTCTCTAGAACTCTCTTGCTAGTTTCCTGTAGTGTTGGAAAGAAAGGATGTAGTGCATCTGACTGATGTTGCCCGAGAGTGTTGGTGAGAGGATGAGGAGCTGTCAGAAGGAGCAAACACAGAAGTAGAAACCACAGCAGTGTCATGCAAAGTGGTGCCACTAAAGGGATGCAACATGGAGCTGTTTGAAGATGGATGGGAGGATAGGTATAAAAGTAACAACCCCCCCAATCCATACTGAGGGCATTGACAGTTACAGCCAAAGGATGAGGAGCTGGGAACCAAAACCTGGCAAGCTTGGAATTCAGGAGGGTGGTTAATGCATCCATTTCTGGAGTACTTTAGTAGGAACAAAGCCAGTTGAACAACTGTAGGTCGAGGTACCACTCAATGGAGAGAATCTTGTTGGTGTGCAATAAATGATCCAGGGCACTTGGTATATTACATGCCAACAATCGAATGTGATGGCTGTGGGCCCAAAAAAAGAAGTCCAAAGCAAAAAAGGCCTTGACCGAGTGTCACCTATGTTGAGTGATGTATGAGACAACCATTGAGTTGTTAGAATGGATCATAATCAACTGGTTCCAGAAAGATGAAAAGAAAAAAGAGGAAACCCATCGTGGTGTTATCTCAGTTCAACTAACAGGCCAAGTCTATGTGAAGGGAAGGAGGGAGATGGATAGGAGCATCGAAGGGATCCCAAACAAGGTTCCATTGATCTTGTAGAGCTCACTGAAGAGGTTGCATGTGAGCTCAACCAAGGGAAATGAAGGCCTCAAAAAAAAAGCACACATCCTCAAAAGAGGTAGTACCTCACTTGCAGTTGGAGAAGGAGAGGAGAAAACAATCAGAACCAGAATCTCCACAGATCATAAGTGAAGGGAAGAAGGGAGGACTGGCTAAGACAGGAATTGAAAAAATACTCTGAGATGAATAAGGTATTGGGTAGGGGAGAGGAAGGAATTCTCCATCTTGACCAGCCAACCTACCTGTGTGCCTTCTCAAAAGAAGAAACTTAGTGTGAAGGGAGGAGGTGGCGGCATGCGATGGAATTAGCAGCAACCAGTCATCAATGTAATGGTGAAAATGAAGGCCCCTGGAATGGAGAAGACAGACAAAGGCCTTGACACCCCCTCCCCAACAAAAATGTAGGGAGATGAAGCCAGTGCAAATGAAAGATCCTGAAACTGGTAGATGTAACACTGATGTACAAAAAAAAATCCAGGGGAGTTTATATACCCCATCAATTTTGTGCCATTTTTGAAC